AAGCTGCTTCGATTTTGACTTTTCGCGCGTTATCCGATTCGTAGCCTCCTTCTTCTTGCCTGTAAGAAATTTTTTTTGTACTCGTATGATTCTTCCTCGGTCGAAATTTAACAGTGTCGGCAAAATAAAAAACTAAAAATATTTACCCCAATTGTCTGACGGGACAATCGACTCCGGGTAAAAGTAACCTCGCAGCTTGCATGACGTCGTCCTGATCTATGACTGCCGAATGCCTGTGTTCGGCGTGCGCACTGCTCACCCTCACCCATTCCACCAAAGGCGGTAAAACGACGTAGGTTCTTTCGTATACTAATTCTTGTATTTGGTGATCTCCGTGTTCCAGCTGAAAAAGAGAAACCACATTAATTTAGTGAATCAAAATTAAGGAGAGAGAGAGGAAGAGGAAGAGGGTAGAGGAAGAGGAAGAGAGGAAGAGGAAGAAGAGGAAGAGAGGAAGAGGAAGAAGAGGAAGAGAGGAAGAGGAAGAAGAGGAAGAGAGGAAGAGGAAGAAGAAGAGGAGGAAGAAGAAGAAGAAGAAGAAGAAGAGGAAGAGAAGAAGAGAAAGAGAAGAGAAAGAGAAGAGAAAGAGAAGAGAAAGAGGAAGAGGAAGAGAGGAAGAAGACGAAGAAGAGGAAGAGAGGAAGAGGAAGAGGAAGAGAGGAAGAGGAAGAGAGGAAGAGGAAAGAGAGGAAGAGAGTAGAGGAAGAGAGGAAGAGGAAGAGAGGAAGAGGAAAGAGAGGAAGAGAGTAGAGGAAGAGGAAGAGGAGGAAGAGAGGAAGAGAAGAAGAAGAAGAAGAAGAAGAGGAAGAGGAAGAGAGGAAGAGGAAAGAAAGGAAGAGGAAGAGAAGAAGAGGAAAGAGAGGAAGAGAGAAGAGAAAGAGGAAGAGAGAAGAGAAAGAGGAAGAGGAAGAAGAAGAGCAAGAGAGAGAAATAGGAAGAAGAGGGTAAAGAGGAAGAAGAGGAAGAAGAAGAGGGTAGAGAGGAAGAGGAAGAAGAGAAAGAAGAAGAGGGTAGAGAGGAAGAAGAGGAAGAAGAAAAGGGTAGAGAGGAAGAGGAAGAAGAGAGAGAGGGGAAGAGGAAGAGGAATAGGATGAGGAAGAGAGGAAGAGGAATAAGAAGAGGGAAGAGGAAGAGAGGAAGAGGAATAGGATGAGGAAGAGAGGAAGATGAAGAGGAAGAGAGGAAGAGGAAGAGAGAGAGAGGAAGAGAGGAAGAAGAGGAAGAGAGAAAAAGAGGAAGAGAGAGAAAGAGGAAGTGAAAGAGAGAAAACGTCGGGCGACTTACCTGAGAACACCTCATGAAATAAAACAAAGTGTTTATGGCGGTCGAACTCCAACTGATGACCTGACGGTGAAGTTGAAGAGCCGTGATTTTGTTGACCAATTGACGGAGTTGATCGGTGGATCCGACGCACGTGGTAACCAGTGACTGTTGCAAGGATTTATTTGAATTTTTCGAAGACGTGTGAGTCGAATCCGTGCTAACGGAAGACATGGAATCCCAACGAGGCATGGCGAGAGCACCTATCGGAGAGAGAGAAATAAATTTTTTTTATTCATCATTTATCGTTTTGCACACACACGCACGCACGCACGCACGCACGCACGCACGCACGGTGAATATCAATTAGATTCGCGTGCAAATCGGTCTACTGACCCGAAGCGACTCTTCCTGCGTTTAAATGAGCATACGGCTGAAGGAGACCCCATAAATCACCATTGTTGGCAATCGCGTGTTCCAAAACCGTCGACGTCAACATGGTTTCGTTGTCGTTGG